GTCAAGGAGAGAATCCTTCTTGTTACTTGTAACATATATTAAGGCTAATCTAATTTTTAACACTTAAAGCTACAATAGAACGTAGACATTAAGGGGTTATTATTATAATCTAGTACTTCTAAACATCTAATACACCTTTTTATAGTTAGGCTATAGCAATAAACGTAGTTATTAACTACTATAGCTATTAAGGGATTAGATATAGAGTAACGATTTATAGTTTATTAGTGGATTCGCCTTCTTAGAGGTATAAGTTAGCGCGTAGTGTAAAGGACGGCGGTAGGTTCAACGATGGTGCGAAAGGTGTTAACGTGTTAACGAATAATTAACTAGGTTTTAAATACCTATGTAATTACTATACGTGACGGCCCAACGCGCACCCTACTAAAACAGCACCACTACTTTAATACTAGCCAAACTAAGCCACGTGAACACCAAAACAGCGTCACATAATAGCTACTATCGCGGATTCTTTTTAGTAGTAATATCTATAGATTTTAATTAATATATAACTATAGCAGCACGAATATGGCATAATCTGCCAGTTGTCCCGCAGCATCTTTAGCCCCTCCCGACCCTCACACTCCTCACACTCCTCCCATCCATGCCCCCGCCCATCTCCTCCACTCGCTATACACCACTGACACCCCGACCCCCACTTCTCCATCACCTCAACCAGCTCCTCCACCTCCATCGCATCTCGACACTGCCGCTCCGCTTCTGCCATCCTTACCCACTGCCACTGCCGTCCCTGCTGTTCAAACGCCTTGGTCGAGTAGGTGGCTGCTCAGGCTGCTCAGGCTCCACTCGTACGCGCTGTTCGTAGAGCTTCTTCGCCTTAAGTACTGCAATCAATCAATTCAGCATCCACGCTTGCCCCTAGCGCAGCCGCGACGCTGATAGATAGCACACGCTACGGCGTTAGATAGAGACGTCGTCTTCTAGCGTAGCTAGCCTAGTCGTCGGCCAATACTCCTACTCGCTTATCTAGAGCAACTCTTACTATAGCATACGTTTAGCCTTAGTAACTACGCCCTACGTAAGCTCGTAGAATTACTATAGAATAGTAGGGCGGCCTTTAATATAGTACGTCTATTAATCTATTAACTACTATATCTTACTAGTAATACTACTAGGCGTATATAGAGCGATAAACTTAGCGTACGCTAGTAGGCTTATTATAACGCTTATAGAACTATAAGAGCCTTCTACTAGATAGCGGGCACGCTGCTTAAGAAAGCAACCTATCTCTATAGCATCCTACTCTACCCGCTTCTATGCTAAGAGAAAGATCTCTACCACCAGCGCGCGTACACAGTAGAAATATTAATACTATATTTAAGTTTAGCTACTCGGGCCCAACGGCTGCTGTAGCAGAATTTCAATGAAATTGCCCGTGCTCCGCACGGGCCTATCACCTCAACGATAATATCACCTCAATG